CGATGTGTAACAAGTCACACTCCTTCCCCTTATCAATTTCTTTCCTGCGTACTTATCCAGCGCAATAAGATAACGATAAGTACGACACTCAGTCGGGCACAGCGGTGGTGAAAGAACTGTGTATTGGATAGTAGACTGTACCTAATTATTGGAAATCCTCGGTGTTGCGCAGGGTAGACTCCAGGCTGGTAAGGCCAGATGGTATGAACTTGTTACTCTACAGCTCCTACAGAGCTTGTATTTACACTCCCCAGGATTATATCTAGAATCTACTACAACTTTCTCTTTCTCTCGAGCTTACTCATCAGCTCTCGGCATGATGCCAGATTGCCCTTTCTAGAACTTTCCAGCAAAATCCCAACACTAATAAGATAAGGATAAGTACGATGCTATGGAAGGAGTAAGTAAAATAAAGAGAGGAATGAAGGTATACGTACCTCAGTCGGGCACAGCAGTGGTGAAAAGACTGAGGTACATGGATATCTACAGTTATAGTCGATCGGGAAAGGACAGGAGGCATATGTATATATATGGTAAATAAGAACGAGTGACGATCGAAAGAGTGATAATCAACGAAGTAAAACACACAGGTATATGGACGGATATCCTCCAATACAGCAATGAAAATTATCATCCCTTGCTAAAACAAGCCTTTGAACATGTCTCTCAGACAAGCATCCTGTGTGGTGTATTGGTTAGTACATGCACGTCTCCGATAGGTTCAACTCCCATCTACAGGGTTTAGTATTCTGCCGACTTTTCTTTTTGCAAACCCAAAACAGCTTTTTGAGTGTTCTTCGAAGAAGCCGCTCCAGGATTCCAGGAATTTCAGCATTGTTGGCAGTATATTAATCATTGAATTCATGGCACAAGTTGCCTCAAGTCAACCATCCAAGAGGCACGATGTTACAAGGATGCTAACGAATATAATTGGCAGGTATCAGCAGTACATAGAGACTCGAATAACTGTGACAGATGCCTTTGGCCAAGGAGCCAAACATAGCCAAAACTTTTGCTTGGAAACTTAACAGAAGATTCAATCGGCTGGGGGAGAAACGTCTCCAGAGAATCCGGGAGACGGCTGAATGTGCCGAGCCTCCGCAGAAATCAATTTTCACAGTGATGAATAAACATGTTGGCTATATAGCCTAACCATAAATTGATTTGTACAAATCTCAGGAAAACATTAGCGGCTCAGGCTACACAATTGCACATTACATGTACTGAGTTCTATCAAGTTCTAACTAGCCGACCATTGAGTTCAGGTTCAGGAATCACATCCAGTACCTGTTGCCGGCGGCAGCACCGAATTTCGTGGGTGTTTTCTTCCCATTGTATATGCCTGCATACACCAGAGAGAAAAATTCCTAGCTTCATTCTATTCTAACCCACAAAATTAATGCAGCAAGAGTTAAGAGTCCGGCATAAGTAATTTTAGTAATTCTCTTGCTCAGTACTTGCCGAAATGCCTGGCTCGCGGCTTGATCCGGTCAGGAACATGTCTCCCATCAAATTTTCTGGAGAATTCTCTCCCAGCGGCCAAAAGTTGGCCGAGACTCGGCCTGGGAGGATCCGTCGGCAAAGTTGGAGTCCGTATTGAGTTTGGCTGAAGCCCGGTCGTCATCCTCGCGATCGAGTAGCACCACGTCCAACAATGAATCGAAATACTCTAACCTGGACCCGCTTCCTGCAACCGTTTACAAGGAGACTCCCTCCGCCCTGCAACGGCCATCGCATGGATTTTGCAGACGAGAAGGTGACTAGCATGGTAACCAAGCCCTCCAACGACGAGACTCGTTCAGGTATAGGCCTTGATGATAGATAAAAAATTTTGGTGTTCCAAATCGTTGCTCATTGCGGAAGGGGTCAATGCTCAGTGGGCGCAAGATTCTCCATTTTAGGAGAAGTGTCATTCGAACACGCGGCATTCAGTAAATATCTGGGTATGAATCAAAGGAAAGCGGGAAGTCGTCCCGCGAAAGCTGCTAGAGGATGACGGTAAGTTTTTTGAATAAAGGCTGTCATGCGAAACTGACTGGTGTCGTAAGGCATCTAACCTGGATACCATGTTGTAGCGAATCCATTTGCTTCAAAGATATTTTTTTCCTCGAAGTCTACTAAATTCTACTGATGGTAGCCTCACATATACTTGGATTCTTCCGCCACATAGCCAACCTGAAATGGACTTTTTCACGAACGACGTCATCACGTCATTTTTTGTCGAAGGTTTTCCGTATATAATAATGGGTGCAAGATTGCTAATGTTGATTTCTTTTCTCCGATCTCTACAACCATGTCCAACGATATCGAGCAGAATTGCACCATGGTGAGTCCAGCTTCGTTCCTCGAGCATCGCCGTTGAGCGGTTTGCTTTCAGATACAGGCTTTCGAGGCGAACTCTGAAGGAGATTACCTCCACTGGAGGAGAATTGTGGATGTATTGCCAGAGCTCGCTGACATAGGGATAACCGCTATGTGGTTGCCTCGTATGTCCTCGAAAATGCCTTGGCCATTTGATATTAACATTTCCGTCAGATCCTGCAAAGGCGATTGGCGAGGAGTCTGGCTACGACGTGTTCAATTTGTATAACCTCGACCACGTTGATCATCAACTCTCGATGGGGACCAAGTATGGCACAAAACGGGAGTTATTGCGCGCTATCAAGAAGGCTAAGAGGCACGGAATTGTTACATACATTGACGCGGTGATAATGCAAGCGTACGTGAGCGCCTTTCGTTTTCTTCTTGTCACTAACCGATGTGCAGATTGTGCACAGAGAGAACCGAGAAACCTGCTACTACTAAGGTAGTTGTTACTGAGGTAGATCCTACTGAGGTAGATCCTGATGATAGAACCGAAGAGGTCTCCGGTATCGTCGGTACCAAAGTGCGTGCTCGCCAACGTTCCGGCCTCTTTTTCTAACCACGGTTATTAGGATTGGGCATCCATTCGTTTGCCCGGGAGACATGAAAAGGTAGGGTGCCTGACATCATCTTCGTAAACTAAACAACGCGTTTACGCGCTATCTCAGTACAGCCTGGATAAGTTGAACTTCGACGACCTTAGGCGCTTGGATTATGGTGCCGGTATGGACTGGGCACAGAGCGTCGTCGCCGAGAGTAGCCAGCATGGCCAGTTGAGTGAGTGAATATCATCACTTTGATGATTTCGATCTCACTGTCGTGTAGTGAGTGCGGATACCGGCGACAACTATCCATTTGAATGGGATATGATCGACTGGGGGAATTGGATTATCAAGGAGACCGGTGCTGTTGGATTCAGATTTGGCCCCATCAAGGTAGTGGGAACTCTCAGTTACATGCTGTGAAGCTCATTCATGATCGTAGCACATGGACTGCCACTTCGTAGCCGATTTCATCAAGTCTGTACGAGAGAACGCCAATGATCCTAATCTGTTCGCTGTTGGAGAGTATTGTAAGGATGACTTGAGCGACTCGGAGGAGGACTTGGAGGAGTACTTGGATTCTCTGGGGACGCAGGTTCGTCAACCGTAGTATCAGATTGAATGTGATAAGGCTCATGGCATATTTCAGTTCAGTATATTCGACACTTTGTTACATTACAACTTCAAGGAAGCCGGAGATAGAGCAGAAGAATATGATATGCGAGCGATTTGGGACTCTACGATTGTCCAGAAGAGACACACCGTTGCGGTAACGCTCGTCGACAATCATGAGTATGTTCCGGTTCCTTCATAAGTTCGTATTCTGATGGTTTTCTAGTACTGTAAGCATTGTAGCAATCACTTTATTCATCCTTTTTCTGAGAGATCTATGTGCTACAGCAAGTCGGTCAGAAACTGGAAAGCTGGGTATCGCCGGCGTTCAAGCCCCTTGCGTATGCTTTGATCTTGCTGCGACCATCTGGATATCCGTAAGCCTTGGCTACCTCTTTGTAATCATCATCTGATTCTCCTTTGATGTAGATGCGTCTTCTGGGGTGACTTGTGTGGCACGAAAGGAGATAATCCCCAGCAACCGGTACCTCGGCTTGATATTATGATTCGTGCGCGCAAGCTTTACGCGTACGGCGAGCTGAGGGATTACTGGGACCACATGAACTGTGTGGGGTGGGTAAGAATGGGCAAGAGTGATGAAGGACAAGCTGGATGCGCTGTTGTCTTGTGTAACGGGTCTAGTGAAGGGTTTGTGATAATTTCACGACCGTGATATTTTCTTGGGCTGATTGATTATTAGATCAAAGCGTATGGACGTCGGCAAGGTGAGTTACATCATTTCAATTGTTCCGGTGGTTACTGATAATTAGCAGGAACACGCTGGTGAAAAGTGGAAAGACTTAATGGGGTGGTACCAGGGCGAAATCGTCATTGAAGATGATGGATGGGCGGAGTTCAAGTGTTCTGCTCGAAGTGTTAGTATTTGGGTGAAAGTTGGGGCCAGGGAGGAATGAAGTGATACCTTTAGACTTAGAGACAACGGCATTAGATATAGATATCAGATTGTCTCGTCGGCACCGACTTGTAGATACATAGATTTACACTAGGAGAAAATAAATGTCATTTATATATATTTGGTCCATTCTGGACGGCGATCTTACCTATGGAGGCAGACATTCCGAAGAATTGAATATTCATTGAGGGGTCTGTGTGAAAGAAACGTAGTTACGTAGGATAATTTACGGAGAGGTTATTTTGCAAGTGAAAGATACTGAAGGACCCTCAGATATCAGCCCGGGTTATTAAAGCTTGACAGTAGCACGTCTCCTTGGTGAGTGAAGAGAGTGGGATTGAATTTCGTGGCTTTGCTGGCCATTTGGCAACCTCGGATCTCTTCTCGTGCGCTCGCAGTCCCAAAATCCGTTGACGGATGCTCATCCTTGCGTGGCTTACCATAGACGCTGTATATTACTATTGAACTTTCCTCTTAATTGTCAGACAGCTTGAGGTTCCATCTCCATTAATACATATAACATTACACATGACAATTAGACGCGATCCCCAAGTGAAACTCGGTCTCCCTCAAGCACCAGTGGCAGCAATGCGCGAATTGGCATCAGCCTGAGTAGTACACGCGATGGACTGCGAAGACGGGTTAGGATGAGAAATCAAAAAACTAAGGAGAAGGGTGACATACCGTTCCGGCCTTGTTCACGAGCGGTAGGGCAAAGCACTGCGTACCCCCGGCGCACTGGGTGATGGTGAACTGACTGCCGACGCATTGGGCGAACCCATCGTCGACGCAGGCCTCGTCCCCGGTGGTGCATGGGGACGATGGAGTCAGAGTGGCGAACTGCGCGTTGAGAGCCTTGGCATCTTCTCCGTTTTGTAATTGGAAGCCTGTGGTGGAGGCGGAGGCGCTTGCGGCTGAGGCAATTGAGGTGCTGCCTGCTGCACCGTTGTTGGCGGCAACGGCGGCGGACACAGTGCTGGCGGCAGCGGCGGCGGACACAGAGCCGGTGGCAGTGGAGGAACCGGTGGGTTGGGAGGAACCGGTGACAGCGGCAGAGCCGGTGGAGTTGGAGGAGCTTGAGTTAGTAGAACTGGGTGTCAGGGGTTAGTGAGAGGAGAGATGAGGATGATGTTCGACGTACCCGACACCAGGATTAGTGACAAGGGTATTCAACTGGACACCGTCGGGAACTGGACCGTCGGGTTTGGCAGGGCACGAGCCGGCAGGATTGACAGCGGTCAATCCGAGAGGAACGTTACCGGTCTGGTCGCCACTAAACTTGGTAAAATCGGATCCTGCAAACTGGCAGTGGAACAGCCCGTTGAGTTCAGAGTTCTTTGGCGCAGTCTGACAGTAGGGTACTTGTAAACTGTCGGGCTGAATGAAGGTGTTAGAGGAGGATTTAAGGAGGAGGACAATACGAAGCTCACGGCATTGCGAGGCTGTTGAACGAACAGCTGGGTCAACCTGATCATCTCGGCGTTACTGCTAAGTTGTTTGGCGAGGTCGATCATCTGGTCGGCCGCGTTTTGTTGGTCGCAGTTGGCTCCAGCAGCCAAGAGACTCGTAAAAGCTGTTTGGGACAGTGGGTTGCATTGAGTCGAGCCACCCGCGGTAAGCTGAAAGAATGGCTGAGATGAGATGATACCGTGGGATATGAGAGAACTCACGCATGCTTGTTCCCAATCCGCTGTGGAATCCGCGATGATTTGAGCGATACGCTTTTGGAGAGGAAGCGCTGATGAGAGTGCGATCGACGCAGAAAGAACGAGAAGAGGGTTGAAGTGAACCATGGCAAAGCTTGAGAAGAGATTGAACGGTTGAAAGAAGGTAGTGTGGAGCGCCGGGCTCAAAGAAAGTGCAGAGAGATAGAAATGGAGGAGAAAGGGAGAGGAACCTGATGCGCTTGAAAAAAAAAAGCAAACACAAGAGGACATTTATATAGGTGCGTGGAAGGAAAATCTAAATCTGGAATCACGGAAACGGGTGGTGACTAAAGTCGGAGAAGGATTGAATTGGCACATGATCGCATGTTCGGCATCGCCCCAACGTAAGGGCCTTTTTTTGTTTTGAGATGAATGACGGTTGGTTGGGAGGTTACGTTGTCATTGTACAAGCACTCACATTGACAGGAACTGTCCAGTATGCATCGACTAGATGGTCAATGAATGATGTTGCCCTTCAAGACGATCGCAGGACGAAATAGCTATTGAAGAACGGGGGAAGTGGCATGGGGTGCGATCGCCGGGAATGTAGAAGCCAATAGTCGGAGGAACAGGACGGTTCCTTCGTTTCAGTTCCTTGCACGAGCCGATAACAAACGCGTGCGTTGTAATGTGTCCGCGTAGGCTAGGAAATCGATAACAGGAGATGGAACATCGCATTGTGCACAACGCGATCAAGCTTCAACGATATCTGCATTGAACTGGAAGCGACTATCACCAGATTTCCTTCCCGCGGGGAAACAAAGAACAATGGAATGTTGGTTATATCATTCCTCGGTCACCGAAATGACCGGTGCTGGTGAACAATAACCGACTTGGTCTTGGTCTCCAGTGTTGATGTTATGCAGTTGAGAGAACAAAGGAACTCCAAGGTTTCGAAGGGTGGTATATATAGATCATGGTCCTTGTTGATCAAGATGAAGTGGAACCGCAACCGTGGCATTCAAGATCATAACGTTGGATGAGCCCATGGGTCGGATCCTGCGAAGAACAGGCTTTATTTCATGAAACAGAGAGGTGACTTGTTGCTCGGATCACTTAGTACGGTTCATGCGTATTACAGATCGTATCTCGAGCTCACCATATGACAGCCAAGTTTCCTTGTTTACTGTCGCATTCTTGACGATGCAAAGATTCAAACCATTGTCCGCGTTAATGAGCAGGCGGTGTACAAGACAGATGAAGGGAAGGTGTCGTTGTTTGGCTGCACGGTCACGTTGGGTCTGCTGCCAAATAACGCCACATTCACACGTTTTCCCATTCCTCCATGGCGGAGGCGACATTCAAGGACATTCCTGAATTATTCGAGGTTTGTCCAATTTTTTTGAGCTGTTGGGGTGTATCTGAACAATATTTCCAGGTTGAACTAGGGGAATCGCTGACAGCAAGAACGGAGAGCCTCGGTGAGCAAAACCACCAACGAGATGAACATTGCTGACGACGACGGTGACAGCCACGTTCCGCGAACTAGGTCCTCCAGATCTCTGCCATGTTGTCAAGAGCAACGGAAAGAGCGCCCATCGAGACGTATGTGTCAGGAGTTTTGCAGTGAACGTGTCTCATTCCCTTACAGCTTGGATCGTATCACTACATTTCCGGCGTCGACGCCTCTTCATCCGCCTCGCTGGCAGCGTACATCAATTCGTTAACGTATGCAATTGAAGATACTTCCGCCTGGTTTGCAAAAACTGCCGCCTGGAAGGTCAGAAATGGATGTTACTGGTGAGCAACAACTGCCTGCGGCTGCGGGCACAGCTCATGTCGCATGTCCTTTTTAGCTGCTTCAATGCCTTCTCCCGCGTAGATATTCGTGTTGATGTCAAGATTCCCGGTGGCGTCAAGGCGTATGTGATTGACTTGAGAGGGGAGCGGTGCGTCGAATTCGTAGTTTTCAATTTCTAATAGCGTTGATGTTGGACATTAGACATGAAGCGACCTCGGAAATCTGGCAGGAAACCTATGTGTCGGCCCTGTTACGGTCCATATTGTATTCGGACGATCCCACGTATTGGTTGGACGCCTATCGCAAGCTTGACCCGATAACTTCATTGGAGGCCGAAATTAGGTTCCTTCAGGCGGCGGAAAGTCTGTTCACGAAAGGTTCGTGTCCTTTGTATTCTTTCTACAACCGACATTGATGGTCAATCAGGCTGGCAAGTTGGATCCGACCCAGAGATACAGGTAGCGACTATCGTCTCAAATCACTTGACGGCGGGGATCATGAAGTATTTTGGAGACAGTGGACGCTTTCAGCAAGCTGCTAATCTGTTCGAGAAGATTGCTGCACGAGAACCCGAGGTTGCATCACTGCTGGCACGGAGCTATATTGGCATGAGTGCGTGTCTTTTTTTCAGTGCTAGGGGTCGTCAAAATAATCTGACTATCGTAGACGAGGAAGTCAAGGCGGTCCAGATTATTGCAGCAGCGATGAAAGAAACACCCCAATCCTACACACTCCTTCACGTTCAGTGCGATTTCTTGCGCTCGAAAGGCAAATTTGATTGGGCACTAAAGCTTGCTCGCCAAGCCGTGAATTGTGCTCCAAGCGAGTTCGTGACATGGGAAAAGCTAACAGAGCTCTACCTTGACCTTGGCCAATTCGAGTCTGCCCTTCTGACCCTCAACTCTTGTCCAATGTTCACATTCAACGGACGGGACGCCCACCGGAGTCTGACTCCGTCTCGGATTCATCTACCCTTCCAGCGACAAATTGGTGAGATCCTCCCGGAACGAGTCAAAACTGAGGACGACGATGCTGATCCTGCACTACAACGCCTACCTTCCCCTGGGCTTCGTGGAACCTGGGCTCGGGCATACTCACTCCTCACACGACTGGTTTCGCAGATTGGTTGGGATGAGCTGCTCAAGACGAGGAGCAGTGTGTTCGTTATGGAAGAGGAATATCGGATGCAGAAGGCGCAAGGAGACATCCTCCACTCTACAAACGGCAACTCGAGTACAGCAATCCACGAAGATGGCAGTGTCCAAACACCAACAAGCCTTGATAATGCGTCAACGCGTGGGATGGTATCGCTCGATAGCCCCAGTCAGGACTCTATGAAGAAGAATGGATCTCTGGAAGCAACCATTCCGACGATCCGGATCTCAACAGAGTCCGACCGGGATATCAGAGAAGCGGAAAGAAAAGAGGCCGAAGATGGGGACAAGGAGATTTCGCCAGTGGCTGTCAATGGGAATGGGACCCCACATCATGTGTTGAAGGAAGCGCATGACCTGGAGAGGCCCGTCCAAGCGGCCGCAGGTGAAGGTGACAAGAAGGAGGACGATACAGCGTCTCCCGGCTTGCCTCCGGAGCCATTCTCTTTTAGCAACAAGCGGTTGTGCGAACGGTGGTTGGATAATCTATTCATGGTACTATACGAGGTAAGTTTGGAGCGTTATCTTGCTTTCCGACGTTTTCTCATGACTGGCTGTAGGATCTACGCGTGTGGACGATATTTAGGGCAGAAGTTGCTCATTTCAAGACGCAGCACGTCGCCTACCGGAAGACAGGGTACGAATGGGAAATTCTGGGTGACCTTGGGATGCGATTACACCACAAGGAGGAGGCCAAGGAGGCGTACCAGCGGTGTTTGGATGCTCCACGGTATTCGCAGAAGCCGTGGGCAAAATTGATGGAGATGTATGCGGAGGAGGGCGACATACAGCGGTCAATACAGACAGCTATACGTGTGGCTGCATATCAATATGCAGATTATACGGAGATGACGGTGGGTAACACTTTCTTAATGTTTTGGTTGGATCAAGGGGTATTGATGTCCTCGTAGTACCCCACGCAGATCGCTCGAAGCTTCTTCAAGCTAGGCCAAATCCACGGTCACGCCAAGATCTCAAATACCCTTATAAGCATGGGGTTGCCTGAGTCTATTTACAAAATTATGGACAGTTATCTGCAGTATGGTAAAACCTTCAAGGTGGAAGGGTATGATTTCTGATTCCTTTTTTTATATTTCCTTTGCATGTCTTTATTCTCACATGTAATCTTGTTATTTGAGCCTCATGGATATATATTTCTCGCTGTTGGTCGACGCTGGAGGAAGAGTCTAGAAGGATAATCCGCTCTCGACACCCCTGGTTGCCATCTTCCTCTGATTGGAGATGAAGCGAAGCGGAAATTGAATGCTTTCCCGAGTGCCTAAGATGGGGCACGGCTAATCCGGTCCGAATGACGTCCAAAAGAGGCGATTGGTCGACGTAAACAGTTTTTCTGCCACAAAGTCTAATAATTGCCCCATCGACCCTTGACTTGATTTCGTACCACCATGTCCCGTTCCCCGCCTATTCATCGTTTCTCGTCGTCGAGCTCCAAGGAGCAGCAGGACCTCTTCAATGCGTGCGAGGCTGAGGAAGAGAGGCGCATTAATCTGCTCTCGCGGAAACTGGAGAAGGTGCGTCGTCCCTCAGTGACTCGATGGTGACGGACAACTGATGGACACGACGGTAGTTACGCGAAGAGAAGATTGAGCTCGAGAATACCCTCGAGGCGGAATCTGAATCTCATGTGAACAGGCTGTCGAGGCAGCTGACGGCGGCCCTGCTTGGACAACATGAGAATGGTGCGAGCTCGTCGACGCCGGGGAGGGCTGCCGCGTTGTTGAGTGATCCGAGCGTGGAAACGATCTTGGAGTCGCTCCGCCGTGAGAATGAGCAACTAAGGAACCGCCTCGTTGACACTGAACGAGACTTCATTCGAGTGTCGAGGCTGAACGATATATACCGGGAGGAGCTTATTGAGCATAGAATGCGCGTGAGTGACGGAAGGCTTTTTCATGGCGCGGATTTGTTCTGAATCTCCCTCATTGTAGCTGGGTGTGCCCGTTGACAACCTCGTAGGACTGCATTCAGCAGATCCGTTCTCTCAGCCAATACATCGCAAACCCTCGTACTCGCAGACTTCGCCATCTAACTCTGTCCTCCATATCCCTACCCACCGGCCGTCGACGCAAATTCCAATAGCCAGACCATCGTCTATCAGACGAGTAAATACAAACCCTTCTTCTTCTGAACAGCTCTCTGAAGCTCAGTCTCCCGAATCTCCCGAATCTCCGTATCCACCATCACCGCTGATGTCGACGAACAACGCCAGCGTCGTGAGCAATAACACGAATATGACGAGCCCACCCACGTCGCTGTCGGTAAACCCGGCAGCGACCTTTGCTACGCCGTCAAGGGGCCTCTCGTATCCCTCTGTTCCACCGCCATCGTTGTCTTCGTCGTTTGGTTCTCCGGTAGTCACGTACCATCGAGATCATTCTCTGTCTCCGGTTGAACCTCTGAGCCGGAGGAGTTCCAGTGCGCGAAGGGGGAGCTATGATTGGCAGACCGGTCCCAGCAGGAGTCGGAGTCATAGCCGGCGGGCGAGCGTCGAGCGTGGGGGCAGAGTCGCTGAGACGGGAACTCTTGTTCCGCGGAGCAGGGCTGATAGTCATAATTTGCCTGCAACAACGGAGGGTGACGAGATCTTTGCTGTTGAGCCATAATTATCTGGCAGTCGTCGGAGCCATCAAGATCGTGATGAACAGAAACCTTGAGCTTGTATGGATGGGCAGAACACTCGGAGGCCCTGCTTTTTTGATGCCCTTGCGTGTTGTTTATCATTGTACATGTATTTCTTTCATACTTCTGCAGAGGACTTGGTGTTTCTTTTTTTTTAATCTCCCCAATAGTGTACATTGATAATGCATACGATACCTTCTTCATTACATGCAATGTAGCTTATATCCAACAATCAGCACTTATCATGCGCACTGAACAGTTTTTCATTATGGGGGCCGGTATAAATTGAGTAACGAAGCTAGTCCTTGAATGAAGAGTTTCATTTTGAGGTGGTTTGTACTACAATGGGAATATTCGTCCCTCTGTACTCATATCACTATATAATTGGCCGTGTTTTCGAAAACTGAGCAAGGGATGCCTAAGATAAAATCTGCGGAGATCTTCCTTTTAAATAAAAGCCGTTAATCCTTTCTGTGCTTGTTTGATGGAATGTTTGTGTGCTTTGTTTTTTCACATTTCACTTGTCAAGAAAGGGTTGAGCCCCAAATAGGGCAGGGCGCAGACCCCGACCGTACATGACTTGGAAGGGGATGTCGACGAAAGTGGGTTTCATGAGAAGAGTCATGGCAGAGTTCATCACCTTATATGAATCGGACATCTTGCAAGTCATTGAGTACGACTCAGCGATCAGTGCCTCACCTTCCAGCGTTACTCTCCAAGACAAAAGAGATATCCACTTGCTGGTATTCGATGAACTCGTCCATCAGCCATAGGTCGCATAGTTCTTCGACACCATATCCGTTACGGAGCTTCTCTTCTGACATCTTCCACCACAAAATCCGACAGCCCGCCGCCGACCTCATATGTTTGCTGTCCAAGTGGCATTTACAGCGGAAAAGATCGCGCGAGCTCGTAATGGATTCCGTTACTCACTGACTATTGAATTGACCTGTTAGATGTTAAAATCACCGGAGACAAATTACCGGTGCATTAGATTGCACCGCTTCGTATTTAGCGCGCGCCAGGATTATCGAGGCACCTAAATGGCCGTTGATCATCATCATCAGCGGTTATGAATGTCCCCCGGATGAATTGGGCAATGGGTTGACGATCGCCGGGCCGGGGTACTTTGAGGGTTATTTCCAGCATGACAACCCAGGACGCGTGCGTCGTTCTGGGATAATGCGACTTCGGCATTGTGTATAAACACGATGAGATGAAGCAAAAATAATGAGTAATGGAGCACACGTTTGTGAAAGGTTGGGCGCTAAACGCCCCAGCTCATCGCCGACCTATTTTCGACCGCAGATGAAGGTCATCGGCTGGCCGTAAGACAAGGGCACGTAGGACCGACTCGGTTGTTCACGCTGGGTAGCGAAGAACGTGAGGGTGCCATGCATTTATGATCCACGTGCGCTATGGATTTCGTACTGGCTTCTGATCTTGAGGTAGACCCACGTTCTTGCTTGAAATAGATAGGCCATCAGATATCTGTGGTTTGCCTCGAGAACAGTATCGCACTCTTGTACATTGTACGCCGTTCCACTGAACTTGTAGACTTTGTGCGACGCCGACGGGGTGCAATGATGTCGAGTCGGACAGACTACGGTGAGGGATGTTGGATGAACGCAAGGATGGATGGATATCTGGTCCATTTTTCCAAGACTGATGGTTCGGTGTGGGTATACAAGCTCGGGCTATTTTATAATTTGAGCACTGACATATGCATGAAACAAATAACATTCTTACCCTGTACATTATAATTAAATCATCCCACCTCTAGTCTTCAGGGATCGTGCTCTTCAGCAAAGACTTTGTCGCTGTCGATGCAAAAGTGCTTGGTGATCTAAAGGCTATGATCGAGACCCTAATAGATGTTGTAAGCGACCCCATTGCTTTCACTCGTCCCCGTGTGCACTCTGAACCCCAGCTGTTTGAGAGCCGCAATGGACAACCGGGGGCGATTCAACGTTATGATGCGGTCTTTCAACCCGTGACCAATAAAAATGCGAATAGATGTAGCATGCGGAGTTATATTCTGCTTTACAATCAGCGACAAAAATGGAACAGATGAAAATAAAACGTGCCTTCTTCAGTGGTTCTTCGACTTCCGTTTAGCATTACGATGCTGCCACCTAGCTTCTCCTTGATCATGAACAAGGATACACTGCGGCCTGGCTCAATCCGCCGAAAACAAACGATCCGAGTCGCGTCAATGCCACTGTCAATTTCGGTCTGCATCCATTGGAAAAAGGGAGTCGATGGACTTCCTTGATTCCCAGCTCGTCCTCCGCTTGCATTGGCTTGGAACTCAGCGATATGAAAACATTTGGATATCCGACACGTGCATATTTAATGGTGTTGCCATGATGCAGGTATGACTCTTCCGCCACTGATTGCAACTGGACGTCCTGGGCTGTAGAGCTGCATTGAGTTCCAGCTTCGAGAAGCAAGAAGCATTAGCTGAACTTATACATACATAAGGGATGAACCCACTCGACGTGACTCAATGTGGGGTCGGAGATGACATACGGGGCTATTGGCCTCATGCCATTCCCCGAGTCGCCCAATCCCTGTATAAAGTTTCATCCAGTGGAAACTCAAAATACGCTCGCATGCATCAGGACTATGGTCACTGTATGCTTGGTCTTTGCAGGAATAGTCAGGAAACTGTTGGCGTTGAATCGGAGATCTACGTTGGTGTCCCTAGTCGAGTCAAAACATGGCTTCGAAGGAAATGATTTACTAATTCACTCGGCAGGCTAAACTTGACGACGAAGACGGAAGCTATACGAATAAAGAGATCGAGAACCGCAGGGAACTTGAAGAATGTTATCGTAGACGAGCTTTATTTGGACTGAAACAAGCACGTCCGCGAAAAGGCTGACCAGCATAAATAAGCCTTACTTAGATGGCGAGGACAGAAAACTGACTTTTCTGGGGGGGGAAAATCCCCGCATTTGGCGCGATGCGTCGCACTTCGTACCGGCGGTAAGATCGTGGTGGTGGACATCCATTTAAGTTATGGGAGCGTCTCCAAAACTTCCTGGCATATACTTATTATATTCTTCTATCCCCCTATCATGGTTCCTGTTCATATCCTCATTATGAATGGGATATATTTTTATAGGACTCTAAAAAGGCATTGAAACTGTTCAGGCAAAAAAAGCCCATATATGCTTTTTTTCAAAAGAAAATCGAGCTTCGGATTACCCGTTAAATGTCTGCGATAGACGAAAGTACGAAAAAAAACTCACCTGGATAGAGTATGCAGAGCGACCCAAGCACCATTGCTCCGCCAGAATACATCGTTACCGCAACCCAACTCCCCCCCCTGATGCCGAGAAAATCGCACCGGCTATGGGGGAGCCCGTCAACTGTCCTTAAAAACGGAAAGGTTGAGAAAGGTGCATAAAGTACGGGGGTCAAGACCGCTCACCCGGAGAGTTCGCCAATATCATTAATAGTTGACAAACCTTCGACGCCAAAGTCAGGCATAGGCTAAGAGGAAAGCAGCAACATATTATCGATCTCCTAGACCTCCTGACAGGTAACGTCGTAAAATTCATTAGCTGTTTCGAGGTGAGGATTCGATGCTATCACCGAAACACCGAAGGAAACTCACGAAATTTTGCAGGCTACCGCCTAAACTGAGAATACTTAGACAGATATCAAGGAAGACCCCATTGGAGAGGCACCTAATAACATTTCAGAAAAGCGAGAATCAAGGAGAAGGGGGATTTCTAACTCTGTCCTAGGCCTTTATGACCATGCAGGATACATATAGACTCGGCACTCAATGTTATTAATGCAGCCTTCACGCTCATCGAGTCCGGCCAGAACAACAAAGAAGATCAAAATGGTTGGTCAGTGTCCGACGCTGATACTTGCACCTACGTAAGTGGCCTGATTAAGTCGCAAAACAAGCTCAATACAATCCTGCGGTACTCACCAGTAAGCTCCCAGCAAGACGTCTATCGGCAGTTGCTGTTTTTACGGCATACTGAGAAATACCTGGATAAACAGTCCATTCGTTTATTACAGAAGGGATGAACGGACTGCATGCAGAGCTCGCCTAGTTTACGGAACCTCTCCTCCGGCTGTACAGTCTGACAGTCTGACAACAGTTACAAAGACAGTCGGGTACCAGCAGATTTTGGTAAAAAATCGGCGAAGCAGACGGTGTCGTTGTTGCCACTAGAACGCTGGCCGCGTGGCCGCGGCCACGGCTATCCTAAACAATGACCAGAAGCTCTGGCCAGCGTGCGTGAAAAACAGCACGCATATATGCCACGGATACGGTCAGAAAGCGATTTTCTTCATCATAGTACTGGCAGGTCAGGCTAAGGTGGAGGTCGACGTCGACTGCGCATATATGCTGGAATAATACCATTTCATCGTCGTGTCAGACGAAGTAAAGGAGCCGGCGGTGGGGTCGTTAAACGGCATTACGAAACAAATTTGATCGCCGGGCGCTTCGTACCGGACCACCACCATCGCCACCCATCATTGTCATCGCTGTCTTCGTGGCACATTCTCGCGTTATCAGGCCACGAATATCGCATTGAAGTACATGTCGCTCCTTCGTTATTGTCAAAAATTTCGTTTTCTGACGTCAAGACCTCGCTTTTCATCGTCTGCAGCAGCCATGGGTGCGACTGTGAACACGTCCGAGAGGCTAACGAAGCTCAGAGAGCTCATGGGGAAGAAGGAGAACGACGTCAATGTGTACGTCGTTGTGAGCGAGGACCAACGTGAGTGGTGGTCTATGTTTGTGCGGCTGCACACTGATGACTACGAATAGATGGCAGTGAATACATCGCGGAATGCGACGAACGGCGGGCATTTATATCTGGATTTACTGGATCTGCTGGTATAATTTGTCTCGATATTCGCTGTATTTTGCGCTGAGTGTCGAGGCAGGATGCGCAATCATCACGCCCAAGGATGCCTTGTTATTTACTGACGGCAGATATTTCTTGCAAGCAGAGAGCCAGTTGGACAAGTGAATAGCATATTTTCGTGGATGATGGTCAATCAGTGACATGCTCTGTAGGAACTGGAAGCTAATGAAACAGGGTCTACCTGGTACGTATGCTTGTCTTGAGGGAAAATACGAACTTACATTTGTGCAGATGTACCGACGTGGCAAGATTACTTGACCAAGGTGCGTATATACTCTCTGATTTTGGTCACCATTCCTCGACAGCAGAGCAGCATCTCGAAGAATCGTCAAGGATTGGTATCGACGCGACACTTATCACCGCTGAAGATGCCTCCTCTCTCTCAAAGAATCTGTCACCTCGAAAATCGACGCTTGTTTCCCTACCTCAAAACTTGGTGGATCAGGTGTGGACGGATCGTCCCGCACGACCCAAGAATCCTATCGTCCATCTCGAGGAGAGGTTTTCTGGCGAATCGCACGAATCGAAGCTTACCCATTTACGCGACGAGTTGGGGAAGAAACAGTGCACGGCGATCGTACTCACGGCCCTTGATGAAATCGCTTGGCTGTATAACCTGCGCGGATCGGATATCGACTTCAACCCGGTGTTTTTTGCATACGCAGTCATCACGATGGACAGTGCGACCTTGTTCGTCCAAAATGGTGCCCCGGCGGATGTCGATGTCAAGCCATACGAGGAATTTTGGACGTTCCTGAAAGAGTTTAAGTCGGAAGGCAAGGTTCTGATCACGGGCAAATCCAGTTTGGCAGTAGCCGAGACTGTTGGAAAGGTACTCTATTGGTTTAGTTTATGTCATGTCGTTAATTGTCCCTCAGGACAACTATGTTCTTCTACCATCTCCTGTTTCTTCATTAAAGTCGATCAAAAACGCTACAGAGCTTGAGGGATTCAGGCAGAGTCACATCCGTGATGGCGCAGCTTTGGTGAAATACTTTTCTTGGCTGGAAGATCAGCTCAACCGAGGCGAAAAACTTTCGGAGTGGGGTGCTGCAAGCAAACTGGAAGAGTACCGAGCGTGAGTCCCTTTTCTGCAGCGTCAAAGTGTTGGCTGATGATATCAGTGAGCAAGCTCTCTTCAAAGGTCTGAGCTTCCCCACGATCTCGTCAACTGGCTCCAATGCTGGTGAGAGTCGTGCAGGTTTTCATGTGTGGCAGAATGACTGATTGTGCCAGCCATCATACACTATTCTCCGGATTCGAAGGATTCTGCGATAATTGATAAGGAAGAGATCTACTTGTGCGATTCAGGAGGTATGTCTGGATAACCATCTCCGCGTATCGCTGACTGCATTGATTGTACAGCTCAATTCTTCGACGGTACGACTGATGTGACTCGGACATGGGTACGTGGTATTTGTCCTGTATAAGCATCACCCTTAACAAGTTATGCATAGCACTTCGGCACGCCGAAACCAGAAGAAATCCGTGCGAATACCCGGGTTCTTCAGGGGCATATTGCGATAGATACTGCTGTGTTCCCCAATGGGACGACTGGCTATATTATGTATGTCTCTGCTAGATGCTTGGTAGATTCTCATTTACCTTTCTAGTGATTCATGGGCCCGACGAGCGCTATGGCGAGATGGACTCGACTACAGACACGGTACGGGTCACGGAGTAGGTCACTTCCTCAATGTCCACGAAGGACCTCATGGTATTGGTACACGCATCAGTCAGTTCCCTCTGTTTCTGCCTTCCAAGTTTGAATTGACATCCATATGTTTAGATCTGAACGCGACTGCACTGAAGCCTGGCATGACTGTGTCGAATGAACCTGGTTACTATGCCGACGGCAAGTTCGGTATTCGGATAGAGAATATTGTATTGGTCAAGGAGGTCGAGACGCCGAATAATTTTGGCAACAAGGGTTACCTGGGTTTTGAGCATGTTACAATGTGAGTTGGAATCTACGTTTGTATGGTTGCCGGTTGCTTATCGATCTGTAGGTGTCCGATGCACAAGAAACTGTTGGACACAACATTGCTGACTGTGGAAGGTGCAATAACCTATAAGATATGATGTCCAAGCGCTGATACTTCTCGTAGAGACGAAATGGCTTAATGACTATCATGAAGAAGTCTGGCAGAAGGTGTCGCCATTGTTGCAAGACGATAAGCACGCTTTGGATTGGTTGGAGCGGGAGTGTTCACCCATTTAAACTGGCAACGGAATGTATCTTTACAGTGGAGAAGGAATCTACGATTGGTTTTCGTTTTCTCGTTACTGATCTGGAATGCGATACTTCCGGACTTTTTAATTGATGGGACTATTCGGGAGGCAACATGCTTCGGATATGGGCTTCCGACGAGCTTGTGGTACGACATCTGTGCTATCTTTTTGACTGGCGTTGACGGACTCTTTTCTGCTGCAGTGAATCAGGGAAGCTGATGCTCAAAACCCCGATTATACTTACTGAAGCCGATAGAATTAAAGATTGATGTCCGAAACACGACAGAAGTGCAACCTTATTATCTTCATGGGTATTCAATCAATGTTATTGCTCAGAGTGATAACGAGAGTCATGAGGGCTCACGGAGATTTACAACCCTTTCTAGTAATTTCAAACTGTTGCGATGGCCCTGTCAATCTCAATTCCAATCAATTTCTAGGCATTTGCTGACTCATCGACATCAGGGCGGCTGTCGTCACATTTACTATTGTTTATTCTGCGGCTATTGTGATTGTCTTTTTCACCCACGAGGGAAGTGCGCGGTATTCGTGCCTCTGCTCCTGCATCCATGATGATTGCTGGGTGGTGTTACGATTCTGTCTCTTCCAGCGGGTGCAGACAACCACCAGGGACATGCAAGCTACGCCATGACATTACCAAGTGCAGCTGCGGACTTGTTCTTTACACATACAGCTATGAAAGCCATATACATGGCCGACGCCATCAGCAAATCTTTGCGGGGATCCAACCTCCTGTTTCGAGGCGGAGGACGGGTGCTCGGACGAAGCAACAGTGTCCTCACTGTCGTCCCAGTCGAGAATATCGGGAGAACGAACTCCAGGCTCATATTGCGACGCATACGGTCCAAGAACGATTGCAGACGGCCCTGGAGGATGCTCAGAGAGATAAGTATGGTATCGTCGTGTCCGGCCCCGAGGGTATCGACTTTGGAATCATTGATGAGGCCAAGCAACAGTCGGCGATGGTCGTAGCACTGGTTCAAAGGACGAATCAAGATGATACGGCCGTACCAATTTCGTTGACGAAATGCAGGATGCTTTCTTCTCAGAGGCAGGATGAGCCCGGTGACAAGTGAGTCTTCGATGAGCCGTATTAGGGGATTCGTCTTATTCCCTGAACGACAATCTTCCTGTTTTTGAGACTGATGGTACTCTATTGATAGGTTTTCTGTTACTGTGGCCCCAACGTCAAGATTCATACGCTCCGGCCAACCTCACAAGATCTTTATCACGTTCCATCCATCCTATGCCGGGCGTTTTGAAGATACCCTAGAACTAGTATTCTTCGATATTTCCCAGCGCCGCCGTTTTGTCATCCAGCGAAAGGTCTGCGCTACCGTCGGCGACCTTGCTGATCATAAACAACTCGCACCCAAGGCACTCTATACTCAGCGGAAGTGTCGTAACATCGAGCTAGACGGCCCAATCAAACATAGCCTCCGTCCGCCCACTTGGACCCCGACGAAATGGGTGTCCAAGCTTCCCCAATTTGACATTCCTCAGAAACTTGTGTCAACATTGTACACTCCAGAAGGGTACTTGAAAAAGTCTGCCCTGCAGGATGTCAAGCAATTTTTACCGTCGTCGTTCACCACGCCCACGTACGCGCAGCACTTTCAGACGCTCGTTTATCTGGAAGAGCAGCAGATGAAGTTTGTTTGGACGTCGTCTTGTTGAATTATCTGCTCATCATTTTACAGGCTAGATCTGGACGACTACTCGATGGAAAATGTCGAGATCAAAGCAAAGTACCCCAGATATGAGTGAGTATCTCTGTTGATGCTTTGCTTGTTCCTGCTCACCCTGTCTAGACTTCAAGTAGAAGGCCTGTCCGAAGGTCGGCCATCTGTCGTCGTTGGAGACTTCATCCTTATCCGTCCTGTCGGGCAACCGGATAAAACCTGGTTTGAAGGGCGGGTGCATAGTGTGGCCATGAGGCACGTTAGTCTCCGCTTAAGTGATGACTTCAACACGTATCGCGGAACCAAATTTGATGTACGATTCGTCTTGAATCGTCTATCCTTCCGTCGAATGCACCGTGCCTTGGTTAATAAGAACGATCCTGCTCGATTGCTGTTCCCCGGGCCTGAACACTTGACGATGGCGAGACCTGTCACCTCGGCTATGTTGGAAGAGATCGCACCTCTAAACCGTGACATTGGAAGGAACAGGGAACAGCTGGAGACCGTGGCGGCTATCGTACATCAGCAAAGGGGAAGTGTGCCATTCATCGTGTTCGGACCGTAAGTGTACCGCCTGCGGCATGCCATTTACATGCTTAGCCTGATCAATGTGTCGTCTTCAGTCCAGGTACAGGCAAAACGGTGACCATTGTCGAAGCTATAGAGCAGCTCCTCAAACGTGATCCCAACTCCCGAATCCTAGCATGCACGCCGAACAACTCTGCCGCCGACCTCATCGCACAGAAGCTGATGCACCTTGGTCCGACAGATGTGTTCCGTTTGAACTCCATGACCCGAAAGCTCGGTGACCTCCCCAAGACGCTCCGCAAATTCTCCCTCACCAACGACAACGAAGTATTTGCGATGCCGGCCCTAGAAAGAGTTCTCAAGTACCGGGTGGTTGTCTCGACATGCATCTCTGCTGGTGCTCTTCCCGACTTGGGTGTGAAACTAGGTCATTTCACGTGCATCTTCATAGACGAGGCGGGCCAGGGGAAGGAACCGGAGATCATGATACCTATCAAGGGCTTGGCGAATAAACATACCAATGTAGTGTTGGCAGGAGACCTGAAACAATTGGGCCCTATTGTCCATTCGAGGCTAGCGAGGGATTTGGGGCTGAAGGAGAGCTATTTGGCGCGGCTGATGCAAAGACCGTGTTATGGTTTGTCGCCGTGGGATGGCGGCGTCAGTGGCGGACTTGGTGTCACGTACGTGTTTTCTTCTCTTTTTTGTTCTACATGTCTTTACAGCCTTGTCCAGGATCATGCAGCTCGTCAAGAATTTCCGCTCTCATCCTGATATTCTGGCGTTCCCGAACGAAAAGTTCTACGGGAACCAACTTCAAGCTTGCGGTGATCCCTTGTTGACGAAGAGCCTGGAAACTACGGATGAGCTCCCGACGAAGAGGTTCCCGATTGTCTTCCACTCTGTGGTCGGGCGAGACCAGAGGGAGTCGTCGTCGCCGTCGTTCTTCAATATTAGCGAGGCGACGCTTGTGAAGAAGTACTGTGCGTCGTTGATTGCGAAGAAGGGAATACGTAAGTACCTCTTCCTACGGTGATCATGGTTTCAATGAAAATGATCATAGGTGCTGAGCATATCGCTGTCATTACCCCATATCATGCCCAGAGGATGAAGATCCTCGATCTATTCCATCGAGATGCAAAGTTGAGTGATATTCGTGTGGGGAGTGTTGAAGAATTCCAGGGACAGGTAATCCAAATAATCTTTCTTAGCACCGAGGTACTGTAACTCATTGCCCAACCATAGGAACGTCGAATCATCATCATGTCCACCGTTCGGAGTAATGCAGAGTTCATTACTTCAGACATTCGGCGGACTCTCGGGTTTGTCGCGAGTCCACATCGGTTCAATGGTACGTCTTGCCCCCCCCCCCTCTGACATAACTTTTGAAACACCTCATCCTTTTTCGTAGTCGCTGTGACCCGTGCTCAAGCCCTTCTTGTTGTCATCGGCAACTCAGATGTATTGGCCCTTGACCCATTATGGCGGTCGTTCATGAATTACATTCATATCAAGGGTGGATGGCGTGGACACCGGATTTCGTGGGACCCGAAGGCCAATGTGGATGATTTTGCTGAGGGTGTGAGGAGTAAGGCTGCTGGGGATGCTGAAGAGACCATGGCGCGATTGAAGGCTCTAATCGTGAGCGTGGGCGAAGGAGGTGATGCTATCCCTCTCGCGGATAGTGACGCCGACGAAATCGACGGAGGCCTCGGTGATGGATTGGTCTTGAGAGAGGAGGACTGAACTTGCTGTTTGTTAATCTCATTTAGGAAAATATGCTTCTAATACGGTTCCATCCCGTACATATCGAATTTGCTGAAACTGCTGCGATTTTGTTCCATTTCTTGATACAACCACAAGGCGTCTGGGTAAAGACGATTCGGCCTCATGCACCACCGGGGAAGAGGCCTGCATCGATGGTGGGTTCGCCCAATGCGTCGGCGGTCAGTTCACCATCACCCAGTGCGCCAGGGGTGCGTAGTGCTTTGCCCTACCGCTCGTGAACAAGGCCGGAACAGGATGTCGCCCTCTCTTTAGTGTTGGTTTTTCTCATCCTAACCCGTCTTCGCAGTCCATCGCGTGTACTATTCAGGCTGATGCCGATTCGCGCATTTTTGCCACTGGTGCTTAAGGGAGATGTGTTTCACTTGGGAATCGTATCTAGTTGTTATATATATTAATAGAGATGGAACCTCAAGCTATCTAGCAATTAAGAGGAAGTTCAATAGTAGTATACAGCATTTGTGGTAAGCCACGCAAGGATCGCTGAGCATCCGTAAATGGATTTTGGGACTGCGAGAAGAGATCTGAGGTTACCGGAATAGCCAGTAAAGCCACGAAATTCAATGCACTCTCTCCACTCACCAAGGAGACATGTAGCTAGACCGACGCTGATATCTGAGGGTCCTTCAGTATTTCTCACCCGCAAAATAACCTGGGTGACTAGGCCCCCGACTTTGGATCCCTCTTCGTAAATTATCTTACGTAACTACGTTTACCTCGCACAGGGCTCTCAATGAATATTCAATTCTTCGGGATATCTGCCCCTATAGGTAAGATTGCCGTCGAAGATGGACCAAATATATTATTTAATTGCTCCCAGTGTACATCTATGTATCTACAAGTCGGTGCCGACGAGACAACCTGATATCTATCTTAATGCCATTATCCCTAAGTCTAAGGGTATCACTTCATTCCTTCCCGGCTCCCTCTTTCACCCAAATACTAACACTTCGAGCAGAACACTTGAACTCCGCCCATCCATCATCTTCAATGACGATTTCGCCCTGGTACCACCCCAGTAAATCTTTCCACTTTTCACCAGCGTGTTCCTGCTAATCATCAGTAACCACCGGAACAATTGAAATGATGTAACTCACCTTGCCGACGTCCATACGCTTTGATCTAATAATCAATCAGCCCAAGAAAATATCACGGTCGTGAAATTATCACAAACCCTTCACTAGACCCGTTACACAAGACAACAGCGCATCCGGCTTGTCCTTCATCACTCTTGCCCATTCTTACCCACCCCACACAGTTCATGTGGTCCCAGTAATCCCTCAGCTCGCCGTGGGCGTAAAGATTGCGCGCACGAATCATAACGTCAAGCTGAGGCACCGGTTGCTGGGGATTATCTCCTTCCGTTCCATACAAGTCACCCCAAAAGACGCATCTATATCAAAGGAGAATCAGATGATGATTACAAAGAGGTAGCCAAGGCTTACGGATATCCAGATGGTCGCAGCAAGATCAAAGCATACGCAAGGGGCTTGAACGCCGGCGATACCCAGCTTTCCAGTTTCTGACCGACTTGCTGTAGCACATAGATCTCTCAGAAAAAGGATGAATAAAGTGATTGCTACAATGCTTACAGTACTAGAAAACCATCAGAATACGAACTTATGAAGGAACCGGAACATACTCATGATTGTCGACGAGCGTTACCGCAACGGTGTGTCTCTTCTGGACAATCGTAGAGTCCCAAATCGCTCGCATATCATATTCTTCTGCTCTATCTCCGGCTTCCTTGAAGTTGTAATGTAACAAAGTGTCGAATATACTGAACTGAAATATGCCATGAGCCTTATCACATTCAATCTGATACTACGGTTGACGAACCTGCGTCCCCAGAGAATCCAAGTACTCCTCCAAGTCCTCCTCCGAGTCGCTCAAGTCATCCTTACAATACTCTCCAACAGCGAACAGATTAGGATCATTGGCGTTCTCTCGTACAGACTTGATGAAATCGGCTACGAAGTGGCAGTCCATGTGCTACGATCATGAATGAGCTTCACAGCATGTAACTGAGAGTTCCCACTACCTTGATGGGGCCAAATCTGAATCCAACAGCACCGGTCTCCTTGATAATCCAATTCCCCCAGTCGATCATATCCCATTCAAATGGATAGTTGTCGCCGGTATCCGCACTCACTACACGACAGTGAGATCGAAATCATCAAAGTGATGATATTCACTCACTCAACTGGCCATGCTGGCTACTCTCGGCGACGACGCTCTGTGCCCAGTCCATACCGGCACCATAATCCAAGCGCCTAAGGTCGTCGAAGTTCAACTTATCCAGGCTGTACTGAGATAGCGCGTAAACGCGTTGTTTAGTTTACGAAGATGATGTCAGGCACCCTACCTTTTCATGTCTCCCGGGCAAACGAATGGATGCCCAATCCTAATAACCGTGGTTAGAAAAAGAGGCCGGAACGTTGGCGAGCACGCACTTTGGTACCGACGATACCGGAGACCTCTTCGGTTCTATCATCAGGATCTACCTCAGTAGGATCTACCTCAGTAACAACTACCTTAGTAGTAGCAGGTTTCTCGGTTCTCTCTGTGCACAATCTGCACATCGGTTAGTGACAAGAAGAAAACGAAAGGCGCTCACGTACGCTTGCATTATCACCGCGTCAATGTATGTAACAATTCCGTGCCTCTTAGCCTTCTTGATAGCGCGCAATAACTCCCGTTTTGTGCCATACTTGGTCCCCATCGAGAGTTGATGATCAACGTGGTCGAGGTTATACAAATTGAACACGTCGTAGCCAGACTCCTCGCCAATCGCCTTTGCAGGATCTGACGGAAATGTTAATATCAAATGGCCAAGGCATTTTCGAGGACATACGAGGCAACCACATAGCGGTTATCCCTATGTCAGCGAGCTCTGGCAATACATCCACAATTCTCCTCCAGTGGAGGTAATCTCCTTCAGAGTTCGCCTCGAAAGCCTGTATCTGAAAGCAAACCGCTCAACGGCGATGCTCGAGGAACGAAGCTGGACTCACCATGGTGCAATTCTGCTCGATATCGTTGGACATGGTTGTAGAGATCGGAGAAAAGAAATCAACATTAGCAATCTTGCACCCATTATTATATACGGAAAACCTTCGACAAAAAATGACGTGATGACGTCGTTCGTGAAAAAGTCCATTTCAGGTTGGCTATGTGGCGGAAGAATCCAAGTATATGTGAGGCTACCATCAGTAGAATTTAGTAGACTTCGAGGAAAAAAATATCTTTGAAGCAAATGGATTCGCTACAACATGGTATCCAGGTTAGATGCCTTACGACACCAGTCAGTTTCGCATGACAGCCTTTATTCAAAAAACTTACCGTCATCCTCTAGCAGCTTTCGCGGGACGACTTCCCGCTTTCCTTTGATTCATACCCAGATATTTACTGAATGCCGCGTGTTCGAATGACACTTCTCCTAAAATGGAGAATCTTGCGCCCACTGAGCATTGACCCCTTCCGCAATGAGCAACGATTTGGAACACCAAAATTTTTTATCTATCATCAAGGCCTATACCTGAACGAGTCTCGTCGTTGGAGGGCTTGGTTACCATGCTAGTCACCTTCTCGTCTGCAAAATCCATGCGATGGCCGTTGCAGGGCGGAGGGAGTCTCCTTGTAAACGGTTGCAGGAAGCGGGTCCAGGTTAGAGTATTTCGATTCATTGTTGGACGTGGTGCTACTCGATCGCGAGGATGACGACCGGGCTTCAGCCAAACTCAATACGGACTCCAACTTTGCCGACGGATCCTCCCAGGCCGAGTCTCGGCCAACTTTTGGCCGCTGGGAGAGAATTCTCCAGAAAATTTGATGGGAGACATGTTCCTGACCGGATCAAGCCGCGAGCCAGGCATTTCGGCAAGTACTGAGCAAGAGAATTACTAAAATTACTTATGCCGGACTCTTAACTCTTGCTGCATTAATTTTGTGGGTTAGAATAGAATGAAGCTAGGAATTTTTCTCTCTGGTGTATGCAGGCATATACAATGGGAAGAAAACACCCACGAAATTCGGTGCTGCCGCCGGCAACAGGTACTGGATGTGATTCCTGAACCTGAACTCAATGGTCGGCTAGTTAGAACTTGATAGAACTCAGTACATGTAATGTGCAATTGTGTAGCCTGAGCCGCTAATGTTTTCCTGAGATTTGTACAAATCAATTTATGGTTAGGCTATATAGCCAACATGTTTATTCATCACTGTGAAAATTGATTTCTGCGGAGGCTCGGCACATTCAGCCGTCTCCCGGATTCTCTGGAGACGTTTCTCCCCCAGCCGATTGAATCTTCTGTTAAGTTTCCAAGCAAAAGTTTTGGCTATGTTTGGCTCCTTGGCCAAAGGCATCTGTCACAGTTATTCGAGTCTCTATGTACTGCTGATACCTGCCAATTATATTCGTTAGCATCCTTGTAACATCGTGCCTCTTGGATGGTTGACTTGAGGCAACTTGTGCCATGAATTCAATGATTAATATACTGCCAACAATGCTGAAATTCCTGGAATCCTGGAGCGGCTTCTTCGAAGAACACTCAAAAAGCTGTTTTGGGTTTGCAAAAAGAAAAGTCGGCAGAATACTAAACCCTGTAGATGGGAGTTGAACCTATCGGAGACGTGCATGTACTAACCAATACACCACACAGGATGCTTGTCTGAGAGACATGTTCAAAGGCTTGTTTTAGCAAGGGATGATAATTTTCATTGCTGTATTGGAGGATATCCGTCCATATACCTGTGTGTTTTACTTCGTTGATTATCACTCTTTCGATCGTCACTCGTTCTTATTTACCATATATATACATATGCCTCCTGTCCTTTCCCGATCGACTATAACTGTAGATATCCATGTACCTCAGTCTTTTCACCACTGCTGTGCCCGACTGAGGTACGTATACCTTCATTCCTCTCTTTATTTTACTTACTCCTTCCATAGCATCGTACTTATCCTTATCTTATTAGTGTTGGGATTTTGCTGGAAAGTTCTAGAAAGGGCAATCTGGCATCATGCCGAGAGCTGATGAGTAAGCTCGAGAGAAAGAGAAAGTTGTAGTAGATTCTAGATATAATCCTGGGGAGTGTAAATACAAGCTCTGTAGGAGCTGTAGAGTAACAAGTTCATACCATCTGGCCTTACCAGCCTGGAGTCTACCCTGCGCAACACCGAGGATTTCCAATAATTAGGTACAGTCTACTATCCAATACACAGTTCTTTCACCACCGCTGTGCCCGACTGAGTGTCGTACTTATCGTTATCTTATTGCGCTGGATAAGTACGCAGGAAAGAAATTGATAAGGGGAAGGAGTGTGACTTGTTACACATCGAACTTCAACCATGACGATGATGCTTCTGAATCTGCGCGTGGCCTGCGCTCTCGAACCCGAATGATCCCGGCCTCACATTGACAGCAGCTAAGTCGATCCTGCCAGACACGGGTCGATTGAAAAGACCACTCGTGAGAAACACCAATATGGCCGGACGAACTGCCATGAGCTTGGGCCCGATAGTCCAGCCCTTCCCTCCCTCGTCTTCCCTTCCAGCATCTTCAAGTCCCAAACTTGCTACCAGTGCCGGTAAGGGAGGGATTCTGTCTACTTGATATTCTCGTCCGAGTCTTTCCTCTCATGCAGTGTCAAATATCTGACAAAGCACACCGGCAGGAGGCAACCAGTTTCGCATCCAAAATCGCCTTTCTACTAAATTTACAGAAGGCAGGCTGATAAAATACGCCATGCTATTCAGCACCTGAACAGCAAGAGGAAAAACGATTTTCTGCTGCGAATTAGGGCAAAATAGATCGGATAACTGTACCGTCTCCTCTGTCAATACCAAGCCAAATTGAGTATCAAGGCTCATAGAGCAGGTAGCATTTACAATAAACATCTGTTTTACCTGACTACCATAATGACGAATACTGGGCCATGAACAAAGGTATAAAGAATCGAGAGCCGAGACACTCACACTTTATCTTATGTCAGCCAATAGCAGCAAGGCTTAAGCTGCACCGGTACGAATAGATATTGTTTCTCATCTTATGGAACCATGAATTGATCCCGGATGATGGCAAGGGAGAAATTCGAAAGAGGTGAGAGGTGAGGACATGATGCCTAAGAAGCTACTTAGCCTGTTTCACCGGCGATTTAGCGCTGAATGGCCTCTAGCCCCCGCCGCTGCCAAAGGGAACTCCCCCTGCTAAATAGCCGTGGTTCACACATGAGAATCAGGGCCTCACAGAGGCGCTTTGCTAAGCTGCAGCGCGAATTGGTGCAACACTACTTCCCCGCGGAGCACCTCGGCTGGCGAGGCCCTAGAAACTGTTCTTTAAGCAATGAGTAGTTATCCCGACATGCGTCTCGGCTAGGCTGCTGTGGGCATCTAATTTTTCGGGTCAAAGCGAAAGCCTAGAAGGTTGGCGATTATGTTGAGGGTGTGACGATTGGTGAGGAGCGAGTCCGCTGCGGAGACTGAAGAGACCATCCCGCCATCGAAGGCCCTGGTGATGGATCAGTGGTCCAGAACGACGACTGACATTGCATCTGGGCCCTGATGAAATTTTACGGAACAGGCTTGCAATATAGTTCCATATTATATCAAGTTTGTCCTAATTTCTACAATTTATCAATGTACTCATCCAAACCGCGAACTAAAAGAACACAGAGACCATGTGACATCTACAACGACTAGGAAAGTCAAGTCGTACTCGCCCCCAATTTATAAACTCCGTCTCACTGTCAAGCACGATGGAATAGTTGAATTTGTGCTGAAGAAAGCCACACCTGATGAACACAATGATCAATGTACACGATCAATATCGGTGAAAAGTCATCTCACATTGTAAAGGATGTAAGAGAGACGGTCTGAAGGGACACTGCGAAACAAGAGGAAGCGACTTCCCACTATTACCGCAGCCGATAGCAGGAAAATATGAGAAAGCGCAGTTGATAGCGCCCCCAGCCACATCGACCACGTCAGGAGAAACAGGATCATGCTTATCCTGCTCCCCACAGGCGCTACAATAGGTAACGTTTTACGGCCCTGAATGCGATCTCCAGGTACATCTTGAAAATCTTGAGCGTGTATGGTAGTCAGGACAATGAGAGCCCCTCTGAGGAGAGCTTTCGTAATTAAATCACCCAGAACTTCGTGGGTATCTAATTTAGAGAGAATGAGTACAGTCGAAGCGAAAATACTGGACTACATGCCTGAGATAATGGTACATGCACCGGATTGAAAAGCGTAGTATCCTAGGGCGGTGGCGATATTTCTGGTGAACCAATGTCCATCAAGCCCAACCTCGTTGTTCATGAAGATACCGATGGCCAACATGACACCCGGTTGAACAGCGCTGAACAGGTACGATAGACAAAGGCATAC